TCCATCCGTCCATACATACAATCCATCCCATTGTAACCAAAAAAAACCCCTTAATCCCGGGCATCCGTTCGCGCGGAGGAGAAAAAACCTTCAAAACGGTGGGGGTATCAAGACACCAGGCCCTCCGCCACCATCAATCCGCCGTCCCCGGAACACAAACGCACAAAGGTCGCAAGCATGCAAAGTATAAAAAAAAGGTCAATAAAGCGCAAGTTGTCGAATCATAAAAAGCAAATTCAGGTAATCACTAGCCATCACTCAGAAGAAGCGATTTAAGCAGCGATGCTGAAGGTGCTCAACAAGCTCCCCGTCACCGAGTCGAGGAAGGTGGTCACCTGGTCCGCGGACAGGCTGGAGGGGAAGGTAGCGTCATCGCTCAGCTTCTGGATGTTTGCCGTTCCGTCCGCGCTGTTGAAGATGACCGCCAGCTTCATGGTTCCGCTAGTCGGGCGCGTGAAGTAATCCGAGCTGCCACCGGGGGTGTTGGTGTGGAGCGTCGACTTGCAGCGGTCATCACCGGAGATGAGCACCTCCGCGATATCGAACTCGCCGCATCCGCTGGTCCAGCACGAGCAGCTGGCCTCGCCGTACTGGAGGGTACGTGGGATCTGGGCGTTCAGGAGCCAGACGGCGGGCATGTCGGCGTTGAAGCCCGAGGTGGCGTCGGAGGGCATGCCGAACTCGAGGAGGAAGACCTTGTCGGCGCCGTCGAAGCCGTGGTAGGCGACGGAGCCGGGGCGCACGTAGCCGCAGCTGTCGCCGTCGACGCACTCGGTGTCGGTGAAGATGGCGAACTCCTTGTTGGAGCCGACGAGGGCGTCGGCGAGGACGGAGGAGGAGGACGCGCCGCCCGTGCCCTCCGAGTTGAGGTACGAGAGCGAGTTGCCGAAGACGTTGTCGAAGACGCCCGAGCCGGAGCCTCCGTAGTTGCCCAGGAAGGTCAGCCCATCCAGGGTCTGCGACTCGGCGTCGTAGTAGCCGCTGCGCGTGTAGGCGGCGTTGGAGTCAACGGTCGTCTTCTGCTTGGCAGCTGCGGCGGCGGCGACGGCTGTCTTGGCGGCAGAGGAAGCGGCGGGGGTGGCAGTGGCGTCAGCGACTGCTGCAGCAACGGAAGAGGTGGCGACAGCGCCGCCGGGGCCGAAGTAGTTGTTCTCCCAGGTCTGGACGACGCCATCGATGGTGGCGGTCACGACGTCGCGCTTCTCGACGGTCTCCTTGAGCGCGCGGGCGTGGAAGGCCTTGTGGCCGTGGCGGCTGTGGGAGTGGGTGTCGCGCTTGGTGGAGCCGGAGGTCTTGGTGTAGGCGGCGACCTGCTTGAGGGTGATGGGGCCGCGGAAGTGGAGGGAGACCTCCTCGTCGAGGGGGGCGAGGGAGCCCGTGTAGGAGACGGGGGAGCTGGCGCACGAGCCGTCGCTGCCCATCGAGGTCACCTTGTTGTACGAGCCGGCGTGGCCGACGTTGGAGTACTGGATGGCGTTGACGGCCTGGCAGAAGTAGTTGCCGGCATCGAGGGTGGAGCCGGAGGCGCACTGGTCGGCGACGGCAGAGGAGGCGCCAAAGGCCAGGATGAGGGAGGCGATCTGCATGGTGAAATGCATTTTGAAGTTGTTAGAGGGTGTTGTTTTTGGTGTGTTCGTGATTTGGATTGATCGTTAAGTTTCGTGGGTGGTAAGGAGTGTGGATTGGGAACTTGTTGCGTCGTCCAGCGGTAGTCTTCTTTCTTCAAATGAGTGAATTCAGTTGGCGGTACTTTTAGAATCCTTATTCGCAAAAACTCCTGTGTTTCGGTGATAGTGGGTGAAAGATGAAGATGGGAAGTTTGGACTGGGGGGGTGGAAGGGTAGTATTTAAAGACGGGCGTTACTCAGACGGACGGTGAGATTGTGGGAGTGGATGAGTGGTTCGTGGGTGAATCGTGGGTGGGTGGTCCTTGGTTGGATTGTGTGTGGTAGCAAACTGACTCTGGGGACCGTGCATGGATTTGAAGGGCTGGATGGTCGAGATGAGCGCGATGGGCCAGATGGGCGGTCGGTCGCAAGATTAGACGGGAGATTAGTGTGAGAGTGGGACTGTACCTGACTGAGGAAGGTTGTGATTGGGTGAGAGGACGACCCTGAAACACGAAAATCATGGGTAAAAATGGAGGGAATTACTTGTCAGATGTACTCAGATGTATGTGAGGAAGTACTGATGGACGGGGAATGCACAGTGTTTTACGCGGGGAACTAGAGATAATAGTACATAGAAGAGGACTTGTGCGACTGGGCCAGGTGTGGATATTAATGTGGTCTAGCGTGGTGTTAGTACATGTTAGTGCATTTGTTAGCGTCAGGTACGCGTCAGGTACGCGCGAAGATGTGGTGGCAAGGTCAGGGAGGGACAGGGGCAGCCAAGGCAAGGGCGCATTCTCACAAGATGGATAGGCAGGATTGTCGAGATGAGAGTGTACTTGCTTTTGTATGTGTAGGTGGGCGTGTTTAGAAGTACCATCCCATAAACAGCCTCTCACAGCCCTCCTACAGCCCTCCCTGTGCTCAACGATCGACAGCGAATCACAGCCGTTGTACGCACTAAATGGCAGGTTGTAATTTAGTCTGTACGAAGGATCATCCATGAGGACTACGACTACAGAGTACGTATAGGACTACAGCAAAACAAGGTCAGGATAATCGCACTCGCCGCAGCGCTTCCTACTGCGAGTATTTTTATACTAGACTAGTCGGGATGGGGGATCGGGGGCGCATCGAGAGGGATGATCGGGGGGAGGGAGAGAGGAATCTGAGCATTTAGGCGCATTGAGAGAGGAATGAATGAACAATGGGGAATGAGAATGAGATGAGGAAGAGGAACAAAGGGATATCAGCCAGTTACAGTCGCAATAATCCAGCAATGTATATCTCCTGTACTACACTGCACCACAGGTTCAGTTCACGTGGTATAACAAGGTACGTACCTTCATCCTTTGTGGTTTGTGGTGCGAGTGAAAGGTGGAACATTTCATACTCCATCACCATAGGGGGAGGGGGAATTGGACTGATTCATGTCCATCACCGCCCATCCCTATAAGAGTCGGCTCCTACTGCTGTAACCAAGGGTCTGTCTCCAAACCATACCAAGAATATATAATATATAATTTCTCCTCGACGGGTGACCAGTCCCTGACTCTCCCGACAGAGTTTTCTCGTCGGTCGAGTCTAGAAGTTTCTTCCCTTCTTCCCTTCTTCCCGTTGACGTTTTCAAGGGGCGGTGACAACTGACGTGTAAGAGTGGTTACTGGTGCTGGCCACTGACCTGACCACTGCTGGCTTGACTGAAAATTACTCCCATGGTCACTGACTATTAACCACTGACTGGCGATTCCTGTCAACCACTATCAACCACCAACCACTACAGAACACATCAGTCACGCTCTCACGGATGTTTCCGCGAATACCCTCACTCCACGACCATGCCACGACCACGATCACGACCACGACCACGACCACGACCACATCCGCCACGACACACTACAGCCAGCAGTCCCAACACGCCCCATCCCATCCCTCCCTCAAACTCACCCTCACAACAACTGAAAATTCCCTCCCCTCACAATTTAAAAAAACGCGACTAAAAATTTCTTTCTCTTCCCGTCGTTCCATGCAAACTAACCATGCACCGAAACAACAGCCGCCCGCCCGCCCACACCACCACCACCTAAAACAACCGCCCTACCAAACAACTCCCGCGCCCACAACCACCCACATTCCCCCCTCTCTAAGACATCAGGGTCCCTCTCCCCGTGCCGCGCGGCACACCAAACTCCACCACCCTATCCCATCCACAACCCGCGCACCAGGCGCGCCCACTTCACAGGCCGTCTGTCCGTCGACCGACGACCGACCCACGAGGTGATTGGAGGGGAGGAGGAGAGAGAGGAGTTTGAGAGGGGAGTCCACAACTTCTATCCATCCCTTCCGCCTCTTCTACTTCCACCACACACAGTGGAGTCCACTTCTTCCACAACCACCACCGCTGCCGAAACATCCACAGATGTTTCGTCGATTCCATACCGGCGCAACTGCCAGCCAGCGCCTCGCCTCGGCCCATCCCCCTGTACATACTGACTGTAGTAGACTGTAGTGGGAGTACGCTGGCTGGGTATACGCACGCTGATATACGTATGTAACTGCACGCACTATTATAGTGCAGTACTGTACTGAGGTACTCGTATCTTCGTGTAAACCCTGCTGCTCATCCACGTCGTACCTCGCTTGCTTGCTTGCTTGCAGTATACTCGTGGTCATGCCTGGCATCTAAGAATGTGCTGTGCGCACTTACAGCTCACCTCTGCACGACCAGCACTTTCGCCAACCCAGCAACTAACATTCCTTTTCTACAACACACCAAGCACATCACACCACAGCCCACCGCAGAAAGTACGTGGCGCCCATCCCCATCCCCATCCCCATCCCATCCCCATCGTCGTCGTCCACGTACCCACAACCCCACACACACGCACGCCTCCATTCCCACTCTCCTACTCCCATTCCCACTCCTCCCATGCCACTACCCACTCCCAACTCCCAACTCCCATTCCCACCCCCACTCCCCCACCCTTCCAGCGCATCAAAGGCGGTTGCCAAGACAGGATAGAGCGCCGAGAGTAGAGAGACTGAGTGTCTAGACCTGGGCGTGGCCGGGTGTGGTTCATGCCGTCCGGAGATCCTGTCCAACCATCCCATGCTGGCCTGGAAAAAAAGGTTCAATGTCGGGAGGGAATTGGGATAATTCGCGCTCGGTTAGATGGCCAGTAACATCGCACCTAGCAGCACTTCATCCAGCACCACGCCACTTCACGGCAAAACCCTTTCCCACCAAACCCTCCACCCACACACACCCACTCCTCCCACCAAGCCCAAACCGGACCGAAAAAAAATGTCGACTCATACAATACTTTAAAGTCGACTACATAACCCACAACAAGCCCCCCTACCCCAACAAACAAAACACAATCTCACAAAGCGGCTTTAGCTCACTTGGGAGAGCGCCAGACTGAAGTCACACTTCGGTTAGATTATCTGGAGGCACTGTGTTCGATCCACAGAAGCCGCATTCTGCGAGTCGGGGAACACCTTGACTAGAACATTCATTTTTTACATTTTTTAACAGTTTTTTTTTTTTTGGTGATATTTTTTTGGCGAGGGGGATAGATGGGGGGGAGGGGATGGGGTATTGGGGATTGGCGAGTAATGGAGGGAGGAGGCTACCATGGGATGGATGGGAAGGGACGGAAGTGAGTAATTTTTTTTACTATACTGTACGCTCTCATGGACACAACCACGCCGTCGCTGGTGATTTTTTTTTTTTTTTTTTAAAAAATGTATGATGCCGGGAGTTCCATAGCCAAATCCCAAATCCCATACCCCAAACCCCATCCGCCCCGCCCCCCTCTTTCCCCCCTCGTCTCACCTCAGTCTGAGTCTGTCTCCCAAAGAAGACCTCTCTCTCTCTTAAAGCAGGGACGACGAAACGGACACGAACGACGCATCTCAGAAATGGGATAACAAGACCTGCTCTTAAGCAGCAGCCTGCTCACGCGCATAGGCATTGAACCGTGCCAGCACTTGTCGCAGAGCAGCAGCGCCAGGCTGGTTTGGCCCAGGTTGAGAACGAGAAGTTGCGCAACTGGGCGAGTAGTCTCGAAGAGCAGCTCGAAGAAGCAGTGGAAAGAGGCAGAAACGTTTCGCCGACAGGTTAAAACATCCAATTATTTGATATAGAGTCTCAAGCATCCATAATTAGACTCGATTAGAACCCTAACCCTGTTCTCACCACCGCACCCTTCTCGTCACCACGCACCTCTTCTCACCACCGCGCACCCTCCCACCGCTCCGACATCTCCCTACCACCGTCCATCCCCCCCAACCACGCCAGCCCAAACACCACACGCCAACCCCGCACGCCAGCCCAACGGTAGGGCGGTGATTTTAGTGGTGAATTTGGTGTTTCGAGGTGTGGGAAGGTTGTTCGAAGTAGTTAGTTATGCGTGATTTCCGTCAACGCCACGTGCCTCGTCGCATGGGAATATTCCTTGAGGGGGTGGTGTTGGGATTCAATCCACCTCCCCTGGGTCGAGCAGGTTCCTGGTAGGAGCCGTGCTGGTAAGTCGGGAATAAAGACCTCCCATCCCTAACGCAGAGTTCGATTTTTGTCTTTCTCCCCGGTGCCGAATCCATGCCATCTCCCCATATCAAAGCCTCCACCCCAGCATCATCTCCTCCCAGCGAACCCCCTAAATCCCATCTCTCGCTACTAATACCCGAACACTCGGCGTAGAAAATCGAAACAGCGGGAGGCGGGCAACGTTAGTATCAGGCCCACCACATGGTAAGAATGCGGGGCGACGAGGTGCTGATAAAGGGGGTTCGAGTCGAAGCGGTCAGAGAGTAACGGATAGTTATGAGCTGGCGAGAGAGCAACTGTGGAGAGGAGGGGGGGGGTGGTTTTGAGATTGTGGGCGAGGTGGGGGTGGATCGGGGGGAAAGGGAGGGGGAGGGGGGGAGGGGTGAGGGGTGTTCTCGCTGTCGGATGTTTCTCACCACTGCTGTCTCTCTTCTCGTGGATTGTTCTTGTTGTTGAGGTTTCTTGTCGCTGGATACCACTTGTCACCGTCGTCCACTCCGAGTAGGATCGTCATGACGGGGGTTCCGCCTTTTGCTCATTGTATGCAGCGTAAATCCGTACCCGAGAAAAGAATTTTGATACCACAACTCATCATCGACATCGTCAACACTGATGACATTGATCCCTGCGGCCTGATGACAGAATCCACCTCCGTTAGATGTATATGCTTTTGGACTTATGCTCTCGATCGGGCGACGGAAATCCGTAGAGACTTGTATAGCCTTTCGGAGCTGCGTCTGGCTTGGTGGACATGGAAGTTGGTAGTGCATAGTTGGTAGTGTGTATCACATAAGCACATATACTCACTTTGTTGAATATCCCATGATTTAGGTTGTTGTTTCTAACGATTTTGTCGAAGGGACGGCACGGGCATGGGACGGAGGGTTGGGTATAGATAAATGACGGCGTGGATGAGGTTCTGGGGGAGGGCCGGTGGAGGAATTCCCTTTGAGCGGAATGAGCTTATGTTGCACGCGGAGAGGGAGCTGTGGATACGCTAGGAGGCAGCGACGATTTGAGGGGAGGCGGGGGCGTTGTAGACGAGAGGCTCGTTTGGGATAAAGGGGATGGGTGCTGGTCGTCCCTGTGAAAGGTGACGTTCTTCAATTTTGTGTTCCAGAGAGTCACATGCCCGAACGAAGGAGAAAGGCCAACATGCCCGAACGAAGACGGAGAAATCTGATCTGAATCCATTTAATTTGTAACGTTCATAACTGACTCTAGATAGGCACAAACGGAAGCCGGTGTCGCTGAGTCATGTCGACACCATCCAAGTTAAGATTATTAAACTGGAAGACAAAGGTCAATAGCATTTTTTTTAGAAGACAGTAGAGTATGCCCGCTGCAGCCATGTGCTGCGAGAAGAGGTGTGCGGTGAGAATAGGAGACAGTTGAGAAAGGGCGGTGGTGAGAAGGGCGTGTGGTGAGAGTAGGAGACGATGGAGAAGAGGTGGTGGTGAGAACAAGAGGCGGTGAGAATTGGCCCCGGAAGGAAGAGCGCCGACAGAAGGAGAGGGTACAGACTCCCACAAGAGCAGACCTCCCGATTCCTTCCCGACACACAGGTATTGATTGACTCGAAAGTTTCTGATGAGGATGAGCGAGAGCAAGCAAGCGACGCCAACGAAACCGATAACTTATAATAATTAACCCATCTACCCATCTATATAACCCCCCATCCAAATTTTACCCCCCCCCCTCCTCTTACCGCCCCCCCACAATCCTCCCCGCCACATCCCTCAACACATGCTTCTTCACCTTCCCACTCCCCGTCTGCGGCACCTCGCTCATCCCCGTCTCCGCGTCCCCAAACCAGAAGATATGCGCCGGCGCCTTGTGTCTCCCCAGCACCTCGCGCACCCAGGCGCGCAGTTCGTCGGTGGTAGGTCGCGCCTCCGGAGATGATGAGGATGGGTCGGGAGATGGCGCAGGGAGGAGGAAGGCGCCTACTACCTCGCCGTACTTGGGGTGTGGGATCCCTACCACGGCTGCGCGGGTGATGAGGCCGGAGGGGTGTGCGACGAGGCGGGATTCTACTTCTAGGGGGTATATGTTCTCTCCTCCTTCATTCAATTAGCTTAGCTCGAACGGGACGGGAGTCGGATAACGTACCTCTTATAATGATGTCTTTGAACCTCCCCGTAATACTACAATACCCCTCCGCGTCAAACACCGCCTCATCACCCGTATGTAACCACACCACCCCCCTCTCATCTCTAATCATGACCTCCCTCGTCTTGTCGGGGTTATTCCAGTACCCCTTCTGCAGTGAGTAACCCGCCATGCATAATTCACCCCTCGTGCCAACTGGAACAATTGCGCCGTTGCGGTCAATGATCTTAGCGCGCAGGTGCGGCAGGACGCGGCCGACTGTTGTGAGTTTGCGGTGAATGGTATCGCCAGCGTGGGCATTGAAACAGGTGGGCGACGCCTCCGTCAAGCCGTAGCTAGATGTGAACTCCCGCATATTCAACTCCCCCACCATCCGCTCCATCAACTCCACTGGCACCGGCGCACCCGCCACAATGCCTGTGCGTAAGTTCGGACACGACCAAGTCGCCGGCCGGGGGAGTGAGAGGAGTTCCTCAAACATTGCCGGGACCCCGTGCAAAGCGGTGCAGTTCTCGGCAGCGACGGCGGCGAGGACCGCGGGGGCGGAGAAGGAGGGGCTGGGGAGGACGATGGTGCTGCCGTGGGTGATGCAGACGAGGAGGCCGAGGACGAGGCCGAAGCAGTGGAAGAGGGGGGGAGGACAGCAGAGGATGTCGGCGGGGGAGAAGGACATGCGGCTGCCGATGGAGTGGGCGTTGTTGATCATGTTGCTGGGGGTTGTTAGTTATGGCTTTGCGGAAGGGGGACATGGGGGGAACAAACTGGTGCGTCAGCATTGCGGCTTTGGGCTGCCCAGTTGAGCCGCTGGTGTATTGGAGGTTGCAGATGTCGTGGGGGGAGACCAATGTGCTGGCTGCTTTGAGGACTTCATTGGGGATAAGAGCGCCGGCTTCGATGAGTTCGTCGTACGTTGGGAAGCCGTTCAAGGTGCCTTTTATCATGACCAAGCTCTTCAGACTGCCGAGGTTGTTTCTATTCGAGAGACCCGGAGTGATCTCCGCGAGGAGCTGGGTGTTATTGTAATTGCCATACGCCTCTTGTGCGAATAGAAGTTTGCAACCTAAGTACTAATTAACCAATGTCCAACACGTCTCTTCGAACCAGCCAAACTCACCAGAATGATCAAGCGCATACTGTGCCTCCATAGCCGTATAAGTACTATTCAGCACCACCAACACACATCCCACATACCCCGCCGCAAAAAACACACTGACATACTCTTCGCAATTGCCCGCAAGGATTCCGATACGATCCCCCCCCCGCACTCCCAGCGCCAGCATCGCTTTCGCGAGGCTCCTGCTCTTCTGCTGCAACTGCGAGTATGTCCAGCGCGCGCCGGTCCAGGGAACGATTAGACATTCCTTGTCGCCGCGCAGGGCGCATTGTTCGTCCAGCAGTTCGCCGAGCGTCAGGTCGACGAGAGCTGGTTCAGCGCCGCCGTGGACCAGGGAGAGGGTGGTGGGTTCCGCGACATCACCGAGGTGGTGCGTGGTCTGTTGGAGACGGCGGATGGTAGTGGGGTTGGAAGCCATGATGCGCGCAGTCGTAGGAAACACTGAACAAAACCGACAAGCTGACAGACTCAACACTGAACAAACCGAAGAAATCTATCTCTAGTTTGAAAGAAATGCACAAAAGTAAATCCCTCGAATTTTATCCCAGACGTCGGCTTGAATAGGGACAGGCGGCACCACGGCACACACACACTTCGACCCACCATTAAGCTCCCAACACTCTATCAAGCTTGTTATTCCCTTCTTTGGCCATGGCCACTAGCTCGCCATCCAGGCCAGACTGAGTGCCATGTCCCTGCTGAG